GTTCTAGTGTTGTTCTATCTTGCAGTACTGGGAACCGAACTTGAACACTCTCAGATGCTAGGCAAGTGCTCCACACTGAGCTATATCCCCAGCCCTGGTGTAGGGGTTCTATTTTCTGTTGTCTTTTGTTAGACAAGGTCTCACCATATAGCCCAGGCTGGCTTTAAAATTGTGCCTTCTGAGTTTGGGAAATACGGGCATGTACCAGCATGCTCAGTTTTAAGGCCATGTTTTATTCATACCTGTAATCCAGAGGCTAACAGCTGTACTTTACCCAAAGCTCTTCATGAGATGCCTAAAATAGAAATGACTGAGGGCTGGAGAAATGGCTTAGTGGTTAAGAGAACTTGCAACTCTTCTGTAAACCCGAGTTCAGTTCTCAGCACTCTGAGTCAGGTGTTAAAATTATCTGTAACTCCAACACCAGAGGCATCTGACACCTCGGCCTCCACAGGTACCGACACTCACATGAATGTATCCACACAAAGATATATACGCACTATTAAAAATAGTAACAATTAAAAAAAAAGAAATGCCAAGCACAGTAGTATACACCTTTAATTCCAAAACTTAAGAGACAGAGGCAGATGGATCTCTGTGAGTTCAAGGTCAGCCTAATCTAAATAGCAAGTTCCAGGCAGGCTGGATCTACATATAGTAAGACCCTATCTCAAAAGAACAACAGAAAGATTAAAAAAGAGATGACTGAACAGAGGGAGGGATTCAGACTCTCCTTAATATCTGCCTCTAAGAGGAAGGCAAAACCAGACAAAAACGCCCTTTTGGGGTGGGGGTGGGTAGAGATTTTTCAAAGAAGCCTGTTTACACAATCCTCTTAGTGGCTCTGTGCTTTGCACTTAGCTGGAAATATGAAATGTAGGCTAGAGGGGATCCCTCAGCATTTTCTAGAATGAGCTGTGTTGCCTCCCTCCTTTTCCCTCCAGGTTAGAGGTCAGATCTGCCCTCATCAGGACTCCAGTTCCTACTGTTAACACCTTCAAAATATCATCCAAACTCTTTCACTACCTAGTGTTATGAGTTACTGTCAGCCAGAGACACACAGATGTATGTATATTAAGGGATTTACGGTAAGCAATTGACAGACACCTTTGTAATGGCTGGCTAAACTGATCTGAAATTCTTAGTCTATCAGGAAGGGCAACAGCTGAAGATGTAGTCCACCTGCTTGAGTCATCTTTTGATAACTTGTTTTGTTTGTTTGTTTTGCCTTTTTTTCCTTTAGTTTTTCAGGATTTTTCTATGTATCTCTAGCAGTCCTGGAACTCGATATATAGACCAGGCTGGCCTTGAACTCAGGGATATGCCTGCATCTGCCTCCTGAGTGCTGGGATTAAAGGCATATGCTGCTACTGCCCACCTTTATATATTTTTTTAAATTTTTTTCAGAGAGAGGTTCCTGCAATGTAGCTTTGGCTAGCCTCAAACTCACAATCTCTCTGCTTGGTGTCCTAAGTGCCAGCACTAAGGGATGTATCTCTGATCCTGGCCTGAATTTTGTTTTTCCCCTCAAGGAAGCCTTAGTTCTGTTTCCAACAGCCTTTCAACTGATTGAATCAGGCCCACCCAGAATAACTAGGAAAAACTTTCTTAATGTCAAACCATCCTAGACATTAATCCTTCTTATAAATTACCTCCTTTATAACACCCATATCTGTGTTTTCTTATATTTTTATTTTAGGGACTAGAGAGAGATAGCTTAGATACAAAGTGTACTTTTGCAAGGACTAGAGTTCCGTTCCCAGAGCCCACAATGGACAGCCAACAACTGCCAGTAATTCTGGCTCTGGGGGATCCAATGTCTCCTCCACAGGCGCTGCACTCACATGCACACCCCCCACACCCAGACACATAATTTGTGTGTATGACTGTGTTGAGGGGAGGGTCAGAGAACAGCTTTTGGGAGTTCCACCCTGGGTTCTAGGATAAAATGCAGGTTATTGAGTTTTCATGGCAAACACTTTTAATTGCCGAGCCATCTCACTGGCCCTTTTTCTTTTGTGAGGCAAGGTCTTGTGTAACTCTAGCTGCTATCATCAAACTGGCTAGAAGCCAAAAGTGGCCTTGTGCCCATGATCCACCAGTCTTTGGGATGATAAGCAGGCCCCGCTCCTAACTTATTTGCTTCTTCTCCTCTTTCTTCCCTTCCTCTTTTGCTCCTTCCCTCCCTCCTTTCCTTCCTTCTGACACAGGGTCCCACTACTATATATAGCCCAGGCTGGCCTGGGACTCATAATCCTCTTGCTGACAGAGGCAGGATTACAGATATGGGCCACCATCCTCAGTTTTGAGACTACATTGGATTTAGTAACAGGGCGCTCAGCATAGATGAGCGGTCACACAAGATTCTTGTGCTTTTCTTGCCTGAGTTCTCAACCCCTGCTCCCCTACCCTCTTCCATTTCACACATTCATCCACCATGCCCGCCCTTTGCTAAGCTGCTGCTTCTTCTTTTTGTTGTTGTTGTTGTTGTTGTTGTTTTTCTTCTCACGATGTCAGCCTGGGTCTCATGGGACCCATTTCTTATAAAATCCTTTCTAGATTTTCAGTTTGATTTCATTTCTCTCCCTCCAAGTGCTGGGCTGGGGTTATGGGAGTGTACCACCACACCAGGCTATTAAGCTTCTTTTTGTATCTTGTGGCTTCTAGGAGAAAAGGAATGCATATTGTTCATTCTTTATGGGCCATCCTCCAGAGGACCTGATATAAAGGCAGTCAGAACTCTTTTTTCTGAATTATATTAATTTACAGAACCCACCACAACTTACATATAACTCAGGCATATTTTCCAAATCACCCATTTTCCAAATCACCCCCCCTCTCTGTTTTTGTTGTTGGTTTTTTTTTTTTTTTTTTTTTTTTTTTGAGACAGGGACTCTTTGTGTAGTTTTAGAGTCTGTCCTGGAACTCACTCTGTAGACCAGGCTGGCCTCGAACTCACAGAGATCTCCCTGCCTCTGCCTCCCGAGTGCTGGGATTAAAGGCATGTGCCACCACCACCCAGCCTCTCTCTCTCTTTTTAAAGATTTACTTTCATTATTTTTCAGTGTGTCATATAAATACAGATGCCCTTAGAGGGCAGAGGCATCACAAGCAGTTGTGAGCCACCTGAATGTGGGTGCTAAGAACTGAACTTGGGTCTTCTGCAAGAGCAGTACTTGTTCTTAACCTCTGAGCTATCATTTCAGCCCAAAAGGTAGTTTGATAAACTTGATGCTGGGCAATTTTAAGAGCAATAATATGCACAGAGAGAGCAGGGGGCTCCCTATGTAGCCCAAGCTGTCCTGGAACTCACAGAGATCTGCCCAATTCACCACTGCTGATAATTCCACAGTGCCCAGCTCTCAAAGCCTCCTTACTGGCCCATTGTGGGGGGGCACACCTTCAATGCCAGCACTCTGGAGGCAGAGGCAGGTGGATCTCTGAGTTCGGGGCTATTCTGGTCTACAGAGCAAGTTCCAGGACATCCAGGGGTACACAGAGAAATCCTGTCTCAAAACAACAACAAAAACCTTATTTCTGCTAGGTGAGAAGATACGCACTTGTAATCCCAGCACTTGGAAATCTGACAAGAAAGAACTACCTCAAGTTCGAGGACAGCCTAAACAGCATAGCAATTACCAGGGTTACATGTCAAAAACCTGTCTCAAAACAAAAGAAAAATAGGTTGGGATGTAGCTCAGTTTGTAAAAGTACTTGCTTAGCATGCATAAAGCCCTGGGTTTGATTCTCTAGCATAGCACAAACCAGGCATGATGGTGCATTTCTTTCCTTCTCTTTCTTTCTTTCTTTCTTTCTTTCTTTCTTTCTTTCTTTCTTTCTTTCTTTCTTTCTTTCTTTCTCTCTCTCTCTCTCTCTCTCTC